TGAAAACAGCTGGTTAGACTCATGATGAAAACAGCTGGTTAGACTCATGATGAAAACAGCTGGTTAGACTCATGATGCAAACAGCTGGTTAGACTCATGATGAAAACAGTTGGAAATTATAGGAGGACAGAGAAGAAGGGCTCCAGGTCTGTTTTGTTTTGGGTTCCATGATGATAACTGTCTGTGAAAGCCTTCTGCATCCCCTCATTCTTCTCTTTAACAGTTTAGTTTGAACTTGTATGAATTAAAATGGCTCAGGTTCAGGTTTCCTGCTGTCGAGGCAGATGATTTTGAATGGGTTGTTTTATTTTGGTCAATGAACTGCTGCTCTGCGCTCTGACCTTGGGTCCTGTTCTGTAGGATCTCATCCACCTTCTTCACGGTCATCTCCAGAACCTCCGCATTCTCCATCTTCGAGTGAAGCTGTGGGGGGACAGTCCAGTTAGACCCGTCAGAACCACGGTGCAGAACCCAGGAGGTGCGCGCTGGTACTCACGTCTGTGTCCGCCAGCAGAGCGCGCAGCTCCTGCAGACTCTCGTTGATGCGAGCTCTCCTCTTCTTCTCCACCAGAGGTTTCCTGGTCTGCAGAGACACACAGAGCACACAGCTTACACCTAGGACTCGATCTCCTCTCTAATGAATTATTAAAAACCAAACAGGGTCCCGCTCCGTGGACGCGCCCTGACAAGTGCGTCCCAGTGCGTCCACAGTGTCCCCATCACTCCATCACCTTCCTGTCCGCTCCCTGGACCCCGCAATGGGGCTCGTCTTCCTCCAAGCAGAGTTCGGCGTTGCTGGGCCGAGTAGAGGGGGCCATGTTGCCGCGTCCTGAGCCTTCTAGGGAGGGGGCAGCTGGCAAACGGAACCGGTTCCAGTCCGCAGGAAAGAAGCAATAATCTTCCAACTGCAAGGGAGCCGCGCTGCTGGCGCTGAGGCGGTTGTTGGTATTTATAGGGGGGTATTACCATGTGAATAAAGGCTGAGCAGCTCGCGCTGGGGGCCAACAGAGCGCACACGGCCCGAGCCAATGAGAGCCCGGCTCCTTTGTCTATGGTCAGCCCGGGTCTGAGCCTGGAGGAGCTGGACCAGCTTCCAACTCACAATGTGTTGGTTTCAGGGCACGGCTGCTTCACGTTGAGCTGCAGGCAGACCAAACAGCAGCTGCGTCATGGTGTGGACACAAAATCCACCCATAAATAACTCCACAGAGACAAGCGGGAAGAGCTCTGCAGCTCTCAATCACTGGTTAAGATTCATGACTTTTTATTTCCATCATTTTTACTATGTACGATATTATCAGCATGATATCAGTATCGTCGAAATTAGCAATAAAGTTAAATATCGGACATCGGCCATTTCATCAAAATAACTCACTGATATAAAAGACTTCGGTTTTAAGTACATTTTTAATTTAAGAAACTGTCAAGTAGATTTATTAATGCACTACTACTTGTGCTTTTCACTTGTCGCTTGTGAACAGGTTAAGATTTGTGAACATTTACAAATTTGCATTGTTCCAGTGTTGTCATTGTGTTAGAGAGTAAATGTCATGAATAAATTTGACATTAAACATAATACAAGTTAAAGTGTTACATACTTTTCAACCCCTTTTTGTCATCTGCATTTGGTAGCAGGACAAATTGACAAAGACCATGTAGAATAATGTATTTTAAATACACAGCAGAGAAAGCTATGTAGTCTCTGTAAGTAGGTCTAGGGAAAAAATATCAGAATCGATTATCGGCCAAAAAGTTTTAACATATTGAATATCGGCCAAAAATCCAATATCGTGCATCCCTAATTTTTACTCCTCCTGTACATGAAAACACATGAATATTAGTCATTTTTCACACAATGTGTCTCACTGCTATTATTGTTCAACTCCCACATCCATATGTAACTTTAGAGTTTATTCATCCAAACTGGAACTTAAGGATCTTTTTTAAGGAACTCAATGAAAAATATGAAATAAACAGGTTATCCAAAACTATATGAAAAGATGCAGTTTGAAAGAGTTTACCCTGGCTGTTTTCCAGCTATATTCATCGGCATTTCTAAAGTGCAGGTACACACTCAATGTAAACAAAACACTTGGCTGAATTTGCTGAAAAATGGAGAAGCCTGAGTCACATGACCATCATCAAGATGAACCTGGTTACCTACAAGATTACCTACTCTGTAGATAAACAAAAAATGGCAGAATTGGACACATAGAATCTTAAAAAAGATGATTAGCTGGAAATATAAGCCTGAATTGGTTCCAAAACTAAAAAGAAAAATGGAAAAAGTCTCCAAATGGCTCTTTCATTTTCATTTAGGTTCTTTCTGCAAGAACAAAACAAGTTTGCATTAATTTACAAATGTTGCTCAAAAATCCAAAAAAGTTCAATCTGGTCCTCTGGACATAAAAATATAGAAACATTTCGTCTCTCATCCAAGAGACTTCCTCAGTCTGAGGTGCTGAGGTGCGTTTCTATATTTTTTGCTTTGTTTTGTTTTTTGTTTTTTGAATGTCCAGAGGACCAGATTGAACTTTTTTGGATTTTTCTACCTGGATTATTGAGCATGCATCAGGATATGTTGCTCACAAATGTTTAATATAGGGACACATTAAGCATCAAATAGTGAAAGAAAATGTGCAGCTTTGGTAACAAATATGTTTTTTTTCTGTTCTTCATGACCGGGGCTCTGCACCCTGCAGCTCTGGAGCCACATGTGGCTCTTTGGTCCTTCTGCAGAGGATCTTTCAAGCTTTGACCAAAACTAACATAAAACTGAATTTTATGGATGTTACACCTACCAAAAAAAAAAAAAAAAAAAAGTTTTAGCAGTTTTCTTGTAATTTCCTTCGCAAATATGTGGATACTAGTAATAATACACAGAGTTAATTAAGCTCACTTTAACTTTATGTTTTATTTCTTCAACATAGGATGCTCAATTTCTCCACAAAAAAAAAAAAAAAAACATATGCCTGCACCGTGTATTAGTTTTTTAAAAAATTGGCAAAAATTATACATATATATATATATATATACTGTATAAGACCTTATAAGGCTTATATATATATATATATATATATATATATTTTTCCTTTACAATAATCCAGTCTTCTGTGATGGACTTGTGACCTGTCCATGCGTCCCCCACCTCTCGCACCGTGACTGTTGAATATGAGCACCACTGACCTTAAAATTAAGAAGATAATGGATGGATGGATAGATGGCTGAATGGATGGATGGCTGAATAGTTGGATTGATGCTGAATGGATGGATGAATGGCTGGATGGATGATGCTTGGATAGATGGCTGGATGGATGATGCTTGGATGGATGGCTGGATGGATGAATGGATGAATGGCTGGATGGATGATGTTTGGATGGATGTTTGGACGGATGGCTGGATGGATGAATGGAAGGAATCCAGTCTTGTCTTTTGTCTCAAAATGTAAAAAAAATCATAACTGTTAAAAACTACAAAATGTTTGATAATTTCATGCCTACTGGCCAGAAAAGCCCCCTCTAAAACACTCAAAGTGGCTCATGTCTGCCTGTCGTATCAGGAGTGCTGTAGTGGCTTGCAGCAATGCTACTGCAGCTGTTGTATCATTAGTTTGGATGTCGGTCCTCTTTACTCAGATCATTGCAGACATAAATTATAAATCATTGTTGAGCTTCAGTAATTAAAATTTTATTTAGGAATGTTGGCCTTGGTTCTCTAAAAATATTAAATTTGTTACAGATTTTTTAATTTAAATAATTAGTTGTGAACACATTTGACATAATTGATGGCAAGGCTTAATAAAAACGTATAATTATTATATTTTCGTTCAAATGAACCATCTGGCCCACAGACTGGAACGACCACACGTCCTGTTCCGCCCCGCCCGACCGCCTCCCTGTTCCTGCAGCCTTTGTGTCCGAGCCTCAGCAGATCGAGGCGGCTGTAACTCGATGCCTCCAGCTGGCAGCTGCTCCTGGAGGCCCCTCCGCCCAAACTGAATCAGCCGGGGGAATTAAGGGCCCTTCTCCAAAGAAAGCGACAGGTGTTGGCCTGCGCCTCGTTTGTTCTCTCCGTTGTTTGGTGACTTCTTGTTTGTGTGCAGCAGCCTCCCTCTGCCCCCGCTGCGTGAGAGATGCGTCTGCTGTTACAGTCGTTTCTCCTGTTCACATGAACACCATGAGCTTCAGTTATTGTTGTTCCTTGACGGTCCGAGTGTGCGCTTTACGCACAGCGTCTGTTTGTTTTTGTCTAATGAGAGCCCCCCCCCCCCCCCACCTTATTATACATGTCCTGTCCACAGTTTATCCTGCTTATCATAAAGTAGAACCAGAGGAACCAGCGAGCCTGCAGCAGGTATAAATGCAGTCAGGTAAAGTTCAGGCGCACTTTACGCGCGGGACAGCGCGCACTAAACCCAAATCTCCCCAATCGAAGCGCTGCAAACCTTTGAAGGGGGAGGGTGGTGGTGGTGGGGGTGGGGGGGTGTCTGTGTTTTATTTTATTTTTCTGGCACCTCGCCATCCTCACAGTGCAGCTCTGGACGGTGGAGAGAGCAGCTGTCTCTCGCCTTTGTTGGACAGCTCCGCTGGGGGAGCAGCCCCCCCGTCCACCCGCCGCATGGCTGTGGGGGCCAGGCAGGAGCGGGAGGACACTGAGCAGGATTTATGTGTCTAAACATGAATTATTTAGACTATAAATGTAAACACAACTCACTGCGGGCTCATCAGTCTTTAACTGTTCAGGGCTCTTTTGAATGAAACGTGACCGCTGCAGTTTATTTTGTTACAATACAACATGACAGGCTGTCCCGACTGGCTCAAGATATCTTTGAATTGAAATTTAGTATTTTATTGTTTGTTAAATGCTCATTGGTCCTAAAACTTAACACTGTGATCCTGGTGATTACATAAATAGTGAAGAAGAGTTAAAGATGCCACACGCCTCAACACCTGCTTTGATTTATTGTAATAATTCTTGGAAAATAAGCTTTCCAATCCTTTTTAACTCTCCTGCTGCCTTTCGGTCAAATTAACCCTCCAGGCCCCACATGTCAGGCAGCAGGAGGGATCTGGTCTCAAGACCCTCCGGAGGGTGTGTCATGACCCACAGTGGGGTCCTGACCACAACTTTTAACTTTGCACCCACTTAAAAGGTCGCTGAGGTCAGGCGAGCAGATGAAAGTCCAGACGGGACTGAACCTTTGCTGCATGATTCTGAACATCAGAATCTCACCGACATCTACAAAAACTTTATTACAATATTTGGAATTGAAATCAGACTTTTAGTAAGTTTGTGAGTTTGATATTTGTTTGCTCAACATTGTTTTTTAAATTGTTTTTAAGAATAAAATTGACTTTACTTCCTCACTTCCTTGCTTACTTTGTCCATTTTCTTTTTTTCTTCCTGTTTTGTTTCCTCCGCCCATCTTTTCATCTGTTTCTTTGTATATTCTTCTGTTTTTCATTTTCTTCTTAGGCCCAACTTACACAACACAGTTTCTGAGTGGAAACTTAGAAGTTTTCTGCAGTTCAGCCATCTGTGTACTCGACAAGAACACTTGTTCTATCTGAAATTAAAGATTTATGGATCAGGTCAGGTGAGGAACAAAGGATGGACTGAAGGAAGGATTCCTTCCATCCATCCTGTAGTCTAAATGTTTTAACTGTGATGTGATAGACAATTTCTAAATCATCTCTTCAAACAGATTATTATTCAAGATGCTGTCTTCCAGTGGTTTGCATGTATTTATTTCATAGCTTTTTCTCTGTTTAGCTTTATTTTTCTTTCTTCAACTTAAATCATTTGTGGAGTTCCTCAAGGATGTGTCTTGGGATCAATTTTATTGGCATTGTCAGCACAGTTCTGCTAACAGCTAATATCTTAAATTATTTTTTTTTTGTTTTGTTTAGCAAATTACTGTTTTTGCTAACTTTGGAAACCTGTAGCAAAATTAACTTCCGCTAAATTCGTTTGTCAGCTAACAAAATTCACAAACTTGTTCCTGTGGGCGTGTCTCAAAGGGTCAATTAAGTATGCTATTAACTTACAAAGTGTTCACGTGACCCAGCTTCAATTGGAAGGAGACAAAGACTTGTGACGCAGACTGAGTGACAGTTGTGTTAGTGGTTAACGGTTTAGTGTTGGCTTCCGCAATTTTTTTTTTCTTGCTTAATGGTTTAGCATTAGCGAAGCAACTTTTTAGTTAACTGAATATGGGTTAGCAAAGTAAATTTTTAGGTTAGCTGTGCCCACCACTGGACATTGCTCATGTTAACTTTGGGTCATATTGCTCACCAGTATAATAATGTATTTCATTGTTGTGCAGATGATACATAGATTTATATGTACATTATATGCCCTTTAGACTGCCAAAAAACTACTTCTTGGGTCCTAGTTTGTACAAAACACCAACCCCCCCCCCCCCCCCCCCACACACACACACAACTATAGCTCGTAACTGTCTTCAGATACATGAGAGTAAGTTTGAGATAGTTGTTTTTAGTCTCCCAAATAAAACCCCACTTCAAACCTTTATCATTTGATCTTATCCTATATAAAGATCCCGGGGCTCAATTGAACAGTTAATGAATTCTGTGGTAAACAGGTGTTTTGTTTTTAACTCCAACATTTCTAAACCTACATCCATCATCTCCAAAAACAACAGGAAGACGGTTTTCACAGCATTAATCACCTTCACCATAGTTACTCTTTATTTTGGAATTTTCTTTGCTGTCCAGCTGGCAACTGGGTCAGAATTCTGCAGCCAGACTCCTAAATGATACCAGAAAAAGAACATGTACTACTCCTGTAGTAGCTTTTCTGCTTTGGCTTCTTGTTCAATATAAAATTACTTAGATTTCATGAAGTAATCATTTGATGCACATGTACAACCCATTAACAGCTGGAGCCAACCTGATTCAAAATAACTATCACAGCTAATCAATGCTAGCCAACACAACAGAAGTTCAGTCAGTTTTGCAGATGTTGAGCTAAAATTTGGTGTGGCTCATACAAGAAAGAAAAGCATTGCAGAGAGTGGTGAAGGCTGCACAGGAGTCTTTTGGAGTCAGCCTCCCCACCATCATAGACATCTACACATCTAGATGCAGGAATATGGCCCCCTGCATCATGAAGGACCCCACTCACCCAGCACACACACTTTTTGCCCAACTCCCATCAGGAAGGAGGTTGAGGAGCATTAAGTGTAGAACCACTAGACTGAGGAACAGCTTCTACCCTGAGGCTGTTAGACTCATGAATCTCTAACCAGAATAATCACTGTGAAAAATCACATCACGTTGCTGCTGATCTGTTTCATGTTGCTGCTGATCTGTTTCATTATTGCTGCTGATCAGTTACATGTTGCTGCTGATCTGCTTCATGTTGCTGTGTTCATTCGTGCTCATCTTCTCACACAGACTCGTTCGTGCTGCTGTTCGACTTATTGTTTCTGTGCTACTAGTGTTTAGTGTATTTTTAGTTAACGTCTTTCTTAGTTCAAGAACTTATTACTGTTTTTCTTTTACATTTTATACTTTTGTTGGATGTAACTGGGACGCTGTACACAATTTCGTTCCACCACATGTACCACATGTGGTGCATATGACAAATAAAGAACCTTGAATCCTTGAATCCTAGAAGATAAAGATGGGAGATGATAATGTAAGTATTCCTTCAAGCAATACTATTTTTTAATTGCAGTATGAATGGTTTGGGCATTTTATGTATTAACTGTGATATTTTGTTTGGGGTCATTATTGTTATTATTTTATCATTTTACCTGAGTTCCTTTTAATGTGCTTTATGAAGAAAGCTGATTTGATAATGTATGGTGTAAATTCATGTAGGATATTTGCTTGGTGACATGATGGTAGATTAATATACATATATCTACATCCACTGTTTTTCTTCTTCTAGCCCAGAGGTCTGCAACCCTTAGGATCAAAAGAGCCATTTCTGCCCCTTTGTTCACTAAATTAAATGTGTCCAGAGCTGCAAAGCCTAATTGTCATTATCAACTGGTGGCCCATGGGCCACTTGAAGTGGTTTAGATGGGCCTTTTCTGGCCAGTAGGCGTGAAATTATGAAGCTAAAATCATCCAGTGATTGTTAACATTTATTGATATTTTTACATTTTGAGCCAAAAGAAAAGACTGGACTCCATCCATCCATCATCTTTACTCGCTTCTTCCTTTTTGGGTTGCAGGGGGTCACTGGTGCCCACATCCAAGTCGCAAGTCCATCACAGAAGAATGGATTCTTGTAAAGAATATATATATATATATATATATATATACATATATATATACACATATACACACACACACACACATATATATATATAATTTTTTGCCTTTAAAAACAAAAAACTAAAACAATTAACTGTGCAGGCATATGTGCATTTTTTTTTTTTTTTTTTTTTTGGAGAAATTGAGTACCAGTATTCTACTTTGAAGAAATAAAGCATACAGTTAAAGAAAGTATAATTTACTCTGTATATTATTACTATTATCCACATATTTGCAAAGGAAATGACAGTAAAACTGCTAAAATGAGTCATTTGTTGTTGAGGGTGTAACATCCTATAAAATTCAGTTTTATGTTAGTTTTGGTCAAAGCTTGAAAGATCCACTGTGGAGGGACCAAAGAGCCGCAGGTTGCAGACCCCCGTTCTAGCCTAAACGTCACAAACTTGGAGTTGCTTAATGCTTTTATCTTCCTTTAAAAATGTAACAGTAAAACTCAAACAAACTGAACTTATGCCCCTTTCCCATTAGTAACTGTTCGTGGAACCGTTCCCTTGTTTCAGTACTATTTTCTCTGGGGTTCCAGCCGGGCCGAACTGGCCTTAAAACGTGATGTCAGAACACTGTCGGTCACTGATTGGTCAGGCGGTAGAGTCACTGGTTGTTTGAGAAACTTTCACAACAACCCGATCCGCCATTTGCAATAACTTGAACTCAAGGAGCGACTGGATCTATTTTTAAGATTTTAAAAACACCGTGGTCTCATGATGAAGTGCAGGCGTTTTTGTGCTCTGTGGCTGACAACAAAAAGCTAGATGGAGCTCCGCTGGTCCCTCCGGTCCTCTCCACTAGAGCCTCGGAGCCCCCTCAGGTCAGGCAGGGCATCATCTCCCGGCTCCGAGCTCACCCTGGAGGATCCTCCATGCTGCCGACTCTCAGGAGCACGCGAGGCAGGGACCCAACTTAGCACCGGCCTCGCGTGCTCCTGTGGGCTCTGAGCTGAACCCGCTCACTAGAACCGTTACTGAAAGTATAATGGAAACACAACTCATACCGTGCCGAGTCGAACCGTGCTGTACCGGTACTAATGGTACTAATGGAAAAGATGCATTAAACTTAAGTGAAACTTTAAAAACACACCTTGAAAAAATACCAGTGAATTTTGTGACTTTAGGGAACATTTTTACACTTATTTTATGCACAGTTCCAAAAAATGATAAAAACACGACTCATAAAAGAATAAACTGAGCAATAAACTTTATTAATATTAAGGGTTAGGTTAAATATTAAGCAAAAGAAGGAAGACAGAAATCTATGCAACACCAAGCAGGTGGTTTAAGAAGCAAAGTCATGTCTTATCAAATAAATAAGGTAGTTAATACAATAAATACGTAAAAGATTAATAAGAGCCTTCTAAAAGCAGGCTACAAGAAGATTACTTCTACTGAGAAGTACAGAGAAAAGGTCTGTAAAGAATCAGCATCTAACGTAAGGATCTCCGGACCAGAACTTCCCCACATGCCTCCTGAGCAGCATATCTATGAGATACATAAGAGCAGATGGTCTAACAAAAGGGACGACCAGAATCCACTGGTCTACCATGGTCTCCACATTTCCAGCACCCCCAGATGGGAGCTATGGAGCCTCTCCTGCAGCCCAGACACGTGGCAGGTGGGGCCCTCCCTCTGGTGCTGCCTCCCACCCAGAGGGTCCCCTCTGAGAAGTGTGCCTTGGCCGGGTGAGAGGGGGGTGTCCCGTCTAGGGTGGGCGAACTCATCACTGGACCTGGGCAGGGACTTGAGGAGGTGGTTGAGCAGACGGGAGCCCAGGGTTTTGTCCATCCAGTCGCAGGTCAGGAGCGTGTTGTGGACCTCGTGCATGCACTGGATGTACCCGGTGCTGAACCTCTGCTGGGCCTCCAGGCCTGCAGCTGGATCTGGATCAGAGAGAGAGGAGGTTTGTGTTGCAGGGACTCCTGGTGCTATGGTTTTTATGATCCTAGCTACTTTACTTTGTGCTATTTTAGTCATGCATATATAAAAACACCCGGGAGATGGGACTTTAGTTTTTAATAACCTTTATTTTCCCCAAAAATATTTAACTCTTATTTACAAAAATCTCATAAGAGACACTGAAATATGTTAAATTCCTTCAAAATCTTTAAATCTGCTTCAACGTACAGCTCCATTTTTGTCTTGTGCTACTTTTAGCTTTAAGATAGCTTTTTGTTACTTTAGCTTGTCGCAACTCTGTATACCTTCAGCTTTTAGTCAGCCTCATTAACCAAACTTTTGCTCCTTTTAGCTTTCAGCTAGCCTTTTGGTAACTTTAGCTACCTCTTTGCTACTTTAGTTTTTAGCTTACCTTTTGCTACTAAAAGCCAGATATTTGGCATTTTTAGCTTTAGCTAACATTTTCTTCCTTTTAGCTTTTACATAGCCTATTGGCATTTTTAACCATCCTTTTGCTACTTTGGCATTTAAATAGCTTTTTGCTACTTTTATTCAGCCATTTAGCATAGTTAGCTATTAGCCAAAACTTTGCTACATTTTGATTTTCTCCAGCCTTTTGATACTTTCAGCATAATTACCCTTTTGCTGCTTTCATTTTAGCTAAAATTTTGCTACATTTAACTTTTTATTTGCAACTTTTAGCTTTTAAATACCCCTTTGCTCATTTTAGCTAGATTTTCTGTATTTTTAGCTACTTCTGAAATTTTTAGCCTTTACTTAGCCTTTTGCTTTTCATCGACAGCCATTTATTAGCATTTAGACAACTTTTTGCTACTTTGAGCTTTCAACTATATGCTCACCTCAGCTATCCATTTGGCATTGTTAGCTTTATGCACATCTTTTGCTAGTTTTAGATTTTATTCAGCTTTTGGTTACTTTTAGCATAGTTACCTTTTTGCTGTTTTCACTTTTAGCTAAAGTTTTGGTACATTTTAGCTATCTTTTGAAAATTTTAGTTTTTAACTAACCTTTTGCTGCTTTTAGTTTTAAGCTAGTGTTATGCTTCTTTTAGCTTTTAGCTAGTACTCTGCTTATTGTAGCCTGAACAAGTCGTTTCAGCCTCTTCAGCTTCTTGGCCTTCTGCGTACACGCTGGACTCAACTCAGCTCCTTGAAGTTATTTTATGTCTCGTGTTTTAAAGAAACATTTGATTTCTCTTCATGTGGATTCAACACAACTCCGTTTCCATTTGCTGCAGCTGACCCCTGCAGTCTGATGTGGACCCTCCAACATGGAGGTCAGCAGAAGCGGAACATCATCTAAAAAAGCTCAACCATGACCAGAACCAGTTTCTCACCCTTCAGTAGTTTGTGGTCCTTGATGTTCTGCAGGTGTTTCACGGTCATCTCCAGAATGTCAGCCTTCTCCAGTTTGGATTGCTGTAAAGAAAGGAGAATCCCTGCAGTGAACTCAGCCTTCTTAGCAGGCCTGCAGAGGAGGTCCGGACCGGTTCTGGTACTCACATCGAGCCCGAAGGCTCCGATCACGGTCTCCTTCAGCTGATCCAAACAGCTGTTGATCCTCTCGCGTCGTTTTCTCTCAATCAGCGGTTTTCTCAGCTGGAAACCGGAGACAAAACACGTGAAGGCGAACGAACCGACTCTGCCTCGTGCTCTAACGGAACCGAACCTGCAGTGAGATACCTTCCTGTCCTCTTTGGCCCTGGGCTGCTGGTCCACGCGATGCGCCGTGCCAGAGGCCGTCATGTCTGCGCGCTGCGCTCCGAGGCTGTGCGCGTCTCCAGACTCCTCCGCGCGCCACTCCTCTTATTTATAGGGCCACGATTAGCATGTGAAAGCTCGAGCTCTTTGCCTGCAGGATTTTCCCACACAAGGGGTCCCATCAGTCAGGACTGACGGGTCACTGGCTCCATTCACTGGACCAGGGATACCCAGAGCCCTCACAGGCGACAGATGTCCAGCCTGAAACAGCCCCCCCCCCCCACACACACACACACACACACACACAAAAACAGGAGTAAAGAAAGGAAAAAAACTGATGTATATATATATATATATATA